AGGCCTCAGAGGGGACTGGAGGCAGGTCCCAGGCTGTGCAGATACTAATGAGAAGTGAAAGGCTTGAAAAGGCGAGATGGGTGGGGCATGGAAACAATAATGAACAGGTTATAGTGCCTGTTATAGGTTATAGGGCAGGCGACATATATAGACATAGGAGAGGAAGTGACGTGTATGGAGGTGTGGTCCCACTCCTGAAATTCAGATCAATTATAACTGCAGTGTTCAGTCTGGGTCATTATTATGTATAAAGTCTGAAGTCACCCATAAATGCTGGATCTGGTAACATTTTAACAGGAAACCACAATTCCAGGTTCTACCAGCACACTTTATCAACAAAGTGACATTAACCACTGATTTCTGGACTTTACAGTTTTTCAAACCTCAACCTTGAAATTTTGTTTTGTTAACATTTAAAGACTAACCACCCCTGCATTTTTAAAACATGCGGTCAGTTTTATTATACTTGGCTTCTAGTCTACTTCCTTAAGCAACATCTGCCTCTAGATGAACTTGTTCTGCTCCTCTGTCTTTCCCATCATATTTTTTGTGTTCTGGTGGTGGATGTTCATGTGAAACATGGTTTAACATCTTTTATTTTACATTTTTAATAATAATGCCAGTGCATGTAAGCTAAAAGCTCAGGCTTCAGACTGCTCGAAACACTCAAATTTGCAGTTTATTTGGTCCTTGGAGTTTAATGTCATACAGAGCAGATGTGAACACAGAAGCCCCATAACCTACTGGCAACACAGTCTGCTCATATTGTGTCACAAAGGCCCAGAGACCTGTAGGAAACCATTGAACCACCAATCATTCCCAACCCGTTGTAAGTGCTTGGTGATTAGCTGCTATTGCCCCGTCATGCTGGCCTAGAGACCGGTCCTTAACCCCTCGCCAACCGCCCATTGCTATGCCAACGTGTAGATTCTGCAAACAGCTGATGAATGATTTCTGGAGAGTACTGGTAGCTATCAGTATAATATGTTTACATATTTTTAAAACCACCATCACATATATGTTATTGTTTTTATTTGTTATCAAACTGTATCAATGCAGTATGTTGTGAAAAAAAACGTGTTAAGATAACTGATCGAGTCTGTTTGGAAAAGCATCACAAAGTCTCAACATGATTATTTCTAATATTTATTCATTCAAAGAGAAAGAACCATCACTGCTTTTCCATTTGTTCGTGTCTGCCTTTCCTCCACAAAACATCCAGACATTTTTATTTTTAGTCTATCAGCATCGAGGCTTCTCGCCCTCTGTGCCGGTATTGTTGACAAAGAGGCTTTTGAGGAAGAGTAGCTGCAGGTACCCAGAGGTGACGATGAGGAGGCTGAGGGCCATCGACCACCAGGTGATGTACTTTGAGTTGGACTGCAGCAGGAAGTAGTCTACGCTCTTTCTCATCCGACTGAAGCCGTAGTGCCGGAACATGTGAAAGACGTAGGTCTCCACTTTGTGGGTCGTAGTCTGACACAGCAGAACAGACGCAGGTATAAAAATCTGTTTATTCACTTTTGATGTATCAAACTCCAACAATCCCGCCTCTGCTACCAGTTACTGTTTTTAATTCATTTTGTGAAACACTTTGAACTTAAGTGTGAAGTTTAAATACATTTGACTTGTTTTGGCTCACCAACTGCTGTCAGTACTGCCACAGACACCACAACACTATAACAACTATAACAGCAGGTAGCTATGTGTACCTCGATGACGCTCAGTGTGTTGTTCAGCTCTTTGCTGATCTCCTCCTTCTTCTTCTTCTCCTCCTCCTCGCTCTTTGAGGGATCTTGGTAGGTGTCATAGTAAACACCAAAGCTGAGGGAAATCTGCATCGAGCCGAAACGGTTGTGGAAGTTGCTGAAGCACATCTGATAGAAACCTGGAAGTAGACAAGTCAAGATGTTTTTCTTTTTTTTTCCATATAGCACAGTTAAAAGTAACACAGCAAACACAAAATGTTTTCCAGTTAAAGCAAACGTATTACGTATCACAGAATCCTGTGAAAATTGAGTTTATCCTTAATGTTTCCATAGGAATTAAAATCAGTTGTATTTGATTGGTGTATGCAACGGCAGATGTGAGAACCTTTGCAAATGCAGACGTTTTTGCAGTTTGCTGGTCTGCAGCATTCAGTTGTGTGTTAACACAATACTACAATCATCTCAGGAGTGGATGTTCCAGCAAATTCAACCTAAGACCATCCAAATGCTCAGAAAAACTGCAAAACCCCAAGAATTCTCATTCTCAGACTCTACAGGCCTCATGTTAAATGTTAAAGTTCATGAGAGTACAAATAGAAACAGACTGAACAAGTGTGACTTGTTTGGAAGGGTTACCAGGAGGAAGCCTCTTCTCTTTAACTGAACATTGCAGCAACGCTCAGGTTCCTTTGGACAGACAAAACCAAAGTGGACATGTTTGTCCATAAAGGAGAAAACGAAACACGTCAGACCAGCTGACAGCACTGTGGTGGAGGGATGATGATCTGGGCTCCGTGCAGTGACTCAGTAAACCATGAACTCCTCTGTATACAAATGTATTCTAGAGTCAGATGTGAGGCCATCAGCCACAGGACGATGATACAAAGAAGAGTGCCAAACCTCCAAAAGAAAAAGAATCAAAGTGGTGCAATGCTCCAGCCAGTCCAGACCTCAGCCTGACGGAGAAGCTGTGGTGGGACCTTCAGAGAACGGTGCTGAAACCGACTGAAGAGTTGAGTCTCAATGATGAGACTAATAACATCTACAGCAGCGGTCCCCAACCCCCGGGCCTCGGACCGGTACCGGGCTGCGAGAGTTGAGGCTCAGGTGTGAAATGTGTAGTTTTCAGGGTTTTTATCGGTTTTCAGCATCATTTTGTTATCGTTTTTATCGTTTACTCGGTTTTCCTGGGTCTTTTCACGTGTGTTATGAATAAATTTTCTTTTTTTTGGTACCGGTACTAGTTTTATTTTGTTGTATTTATCCGCGACACCTTAAAGGCCGGTCCGTGAAAATATTGTCGGGCATAAACCGGTCCATGGCGCAAAAAAGGTTGGAGACCGCTGATCTACAGGGTGCACGCACGAGGCATTGACGATGACGTGACCATGAGCAGAGACAAATAAATAATGAGAGGATGAGAAACAGGTGAAAACATGGCTGGAAGTAACTAAAGAAACAGGAAGTACACTCCACATAACGAGCACAGGACAAAAGACTATCATAATAAAACAGGAAACAGACACAGGAAAACTAAACACTAACAAAATGTCCAAACTTAAAACACTGGCACCACCCAGGCACCATTACAGAAAAACATGATGAAAATTAGAAGAGTTTATTGAACATTTCTGTAAAACTCCTGCAGGGTGAGATGCAGTGGGACGACCTGTATCATGAGAATAAAAGATGAAATCTCAAATGCTAATCTACCAGCTAACGCTAACAAGGTGTTTTTGTGTTTTAATAATTATTTTGCTGCTCACCTTTAAAACATGTATCTCTCTGACTTTATATCCTCTACGAGAGTTTGTGTTGTATCAACATTTAATGTTAAAGTGAATATCTAGACATAATTTCCTACAATCTGTTCATCGCATTCAGCTGAAGTGAAATAACAGCATGGAAGAGCTATCCATCAGACAGACAGCTACCTGATTCTGCAGCCTCAAAGTTGATCTGGCCCTTCGCATCATCAACAGTAGACAGCAACAGATCACTCGGAGTGTTGACGGTGACTGACAGGTGTCTGTCATGGCCGACTCCCATCACCCACTGGACCTACAAAACCAATACAGAGTTAAAAACCATACAGAGCGTCCACACACTGCAGGAATGAGCAGCAGCAGCTCTGTCAGTGTAAAATATCCTGTTTGATGTTACCACTGTGAGCTCTTTTCAACAGATGGTACCGATGCTGGTGTCCATGCTAATCTGACATTTGTGGGAAAACAGACTACATGTCAGGTGGCTTCACTTAGCTTGACACAGAGTTTTCTTCTTACCATGAAGTTCAAGTAAAATCTCTCTCCACGGTGAGCAAAGTGCCAGAAACACTCCAACCCAGCAGCAGGAAGCACTATAGCAAAGTCGTACTGGTCAGAACCCCAGAACAGCTCCTGGTCTGTGACGTCGGGGCGGGCGTTTGTCTGGGGAACCCCATGAGCTGAGCCCCAAAATAAAAAGCCCAGAAAGAAGCAGGGAATCCAGCACAGCATGTCTAAAACATGGAAGGGTGAGAGTAGAGTCTGTGCTGCAGTTAGATCAAAAATGATTAACCAGCCCTGAAATGTCTCCTCCTCTGCTGGGAAAACTGGACGGGCTGCACAGATGGAAGCACTGCTGATAGAGAGGAAAACCCTGCAGGAGGGAAACTCTCCAGGTGATCCAAACAAATGAACCTTGAAACTTCCACAGACAGATCCCGACATCCTGTGGAGGTTTGGACCACCGGTTCAGTAATATTTGACCATGTGGTGGATGTACATTTAGATTATTCTCATGGCCGTCATTCACATTTCAACATTTACATGAATCCATTGATCCACTGGTGAACAGGAAACAGCAGACATATGCCAACAGGAGAGTGGGTGTAGTGCTGAGAAGATGGTCTGATTGATGTTTTACATGATAAAACTTGTTTCCATTCTAGACAAAGATCATAAAGAGAATACAAACAGTATTGTTTAAATGATGGTTTCATTTATAAAGCGAAAAACTCTCCCCAAACCTGCCCTGTGTGCAAAAGTAACTGCCCCCTAAACCTGATCACTGGTTGTTCCACCCTCTGCAGCAGGAAGTGATCAGTGCTGAGCAGTTAAACATAATTAACTATCAATGAAATCATGTATGAATTATGATTCTGTGATTAACATACACTTCATATCACTTCTCATTTTCAAAATCATGTCGTTTAGCTTTGAAATGTCTGCATTTGTGAATAAAACATTTTCTTAGTAACAACATTTATTTAGATCCAACCATGCAAAATATGATTTTTGCCATTTTTCAAGTGGTCTTAAAGCTTTAATCAGGACTGTATCTGATATCACTTCAGTTTAATGTGAAAAAGCTGCATCAGTGTTTTGCTGGGATGCATCTGCTCCTCTGGCTTTCCTGTTAGCAGCGAGTGCATCGATGTCACAGAGGTTTTAGTGCAGCATAAACTCCAGCACATATTTTTGTCACTCTGGAGCACATTTCAGGAAAATAACAAGAAGTAAATGAAGGAAAGCGACAGAAGCAGACAGGATAAGACGAGCGTCGTATCTGAGACAATAACCAGGGCCGGACCGTTTCTGACAGCTGCATCATTTTTATTGTGCAACAACACGGCGGCAGAGGACGGTTTGATTTTGTCTTGGGAATAAATCACTACTGGAAATCACAGGACTCAGATCAACACACGTCTGCTCTCCAGAACCAGGACGACGTGCTGAGATCACGGTGGGCGACAAATGTTCATCAGCAGAACGATGAGACAGAAACACAGAAGAGCCGTTTGGAAAGGCAGGAGGTACAGTGCTAACAGGCTGCAAGAAATATAAATACAGACTCACGTCTGTCTCTATCAGTACTTATCATGCAAAAGATACGACACACATGTGTGCAAAGAAGTGTCCAGGTTCATCCTGACCATCAACCTTTCTGACTGAAGGGCATTTCTGCCAGCAGGACTTCAGATATAAGCAGTGACGTGAGCTATAAGACAATAACACTATCAGTCATGGTCTGGCAGTCCCAGAGCACAAAGCTCAGCAGGACATAAACAGTGTGGAGTCATCAACATCATCAACAGAAGGCAGAAGAGCTTTGAATGTCCTTCAAGAAGTCTGGAGAAGTGTTCCTGCAGGTCCTCACAGAGACGCCAGAGAGCTGCTCAGAGAGTTCAGAGAGAGCTGAAGGATGAAGGCCAGACCAAACATTCACGTTCAAGCTCGTTAGAACTGTAAAGACTAGATTTTTGCCTCATATTCTGTATTTTTAATGAATATTTGCACATTTCAGTGAATCGCTGCATCCGTTTCCAATTCTCCTGCAAAATGTAAAGAAACGAGTGAAACGAGGGCTCAAGACTTTTGCACAGTACCGACTATATTAAAGTAAAGCTGGATTCATTCTCATTTAAACACAGTGAAGGCGTTGCTGGTCCATTGGGTAATAAATCACAGAGCTTACAGTGATCACATGGTTTCAGACTCCATCACCTCCCAATCAACTTTAAACAGGTAAAGCATGTTTCACTTTGCATCACCTCAGTAAGACCATGTGAAAATGTAAACAAATCATCTTAGGTTTACTTAAAAATCCTTAAAAAACATTAATCCCATAAACATGAAGCTCTGACCTCCTACGTGGATCCTCAATCCTGACAGACAGTTCAATAAATCATTAAACACTAGAAATTAAATACTGTCAACTGAGTGTTGAAATAGAGTCTGGAACACACTTCCTAGTTGCCCTGCACAGTGCCTCAGGGCTCGATTGCTGATGTTGTCAGGGCCAAGATGATGAAAAGCTGTGGGAATTCTCTGAGGAGGTAGTAGGGACACAGGGAAATAGCCCTCATGGTGACTGTAGGGCACCAGCTGTCGTTTACATACAGACACACGCCACCGCCATGTTGCTTCCCGGTGCATTCATGGTCTCTGTGGATGAAGGCGTGGTGAAAAGTGTGTAGCTTTAATCCCCTCCTGGTCAGGGCCATGCAGAGATGTTTAAAGGGGCGGGTGCTCAAGTTAAAAAGGGGCACATTGAACCAGGCTGAATAACAGCAACACACATTCATCAAGAATCTAATATGGGATTGCATCATACTCACTGTTGTGAGGTGACGATAAGGCAAAACAAACATAGCCTATGTTTTACCTGATGGGGTAAAATGTTGCTGTTGAGGGGTTTCTGCTGCTCCCACTGCTGATAGTGCAGGAGGGCAGGGCTGCGTATCCACACTTAACAACTCTTGCACTTATTCTATAATAAAATGATGACAGAAAATGTAATGAAATATATTTGAAATAAAAATTTAATACAATTGGTTTCTTAATGTATGTTCTTTAAAATACAGTGTGTGTTTATTAAATATCATAATTATAACTAGAAAAATTTGCATTTCCTGCAAAAATGCTGTGTGGATGCTTTAAAGCTGAAGCTGTCTGCTGAAAACAGCTGAAGAAGCTGAAGTCATTATTTGAAAAGTAGTTGAACTTTTAAAAAAAATTACAGAAGCATAACAACTTAGAAAAAAGGTAATAACTTAGCAGAAACTCTCTTCTCACTGCTGAGGTCTGGGAAGCGCTTCCGCTCCCTTAAGGCCAAAACAGAGAGAATGAGGAGGAGCTTCTTCCCCCAGGCTATTCGGGCCCTGAACCAGGTGTAGGACGGGGTGAAATGCTTGTAGCTGTACAATGCCCGACCATTAAATGACAGAAAAAATGTTTTACAGTATTTACAATTTACAGGTTACTACAAAATTTACAAATTAACTTAGAAATTTACAGTAAAAAATGTGCAAATAGCAGAAAAGATTATAAGGATTATAAATTATAGGAAATGTGTGGTGGTGCGTGTGGTGATGTGATGTGTGTGGGAGAGTCCAGTCCTACACCTGGTTCAGGGCCCGAATAGCCTGGGGGAAGAAGCTCCTCCTCATTCTCTCTGTTTTGGCCTTAAGGGAGCGGAAGCGCTTCCCAGACCTCAAGCAGTGAGAAGAGAGTTTCTGCTAAGTTATTACCTTTTTTCTAAGTTGTTATGCTTCTGTAATTTTTTTTAAAAGTTCAACTACTTTTCAAATAATGACTTCAGCTTCTTCAGCTGTTTTCAGCAGACAGCTTCAGCTTTAAAGCATCCACACAGCATTTTTGCAGGAAATGCAAATTTTTCTAGTTTATTATGATATTTAATAAACACACACTGTGTTTTAAAGAACATACATTAAGAAACTGATTGTATTAAATTTTTATTTCAAATAAATTTCATTATATTTTTTGTCATCATTTTATTATAGATTAAGTGCAAGAGTTGTTAAGTGTGGATAACACAACCCTGCCCTCCAGCACCATCAGCAGCAGGAGCAGCAGAAACCCCTCAACAGCAACATTGTACCCATCAGGTAAAACATAGGCTACGTTTGCTTTGCCTTGTCGCCACCTCACAACAGTGATATAGTATGATGCGATCCCATATTAGATTCTTGATGAATGTGTGTTGTTGTTATTCAGCCTGGTTCAATGTGCCCCTTTTTAACTTTGAGCACCCGCCCCTTTAAACATCTCTGCATGGCCCTGACCAGGAGGGGATTAAAGCTACACACTTTTCACCACGCCTTCATCCACAGAGACCATGAATGCACCGGGAAGCAACATGGCGGTGGCGTGTGTCTGTATGTAAACGACAGCTGGTGCCCTACAGTCACCATGAGGGCTATTTCCCTGTGTCCCTACTACCTCCTCAGAGAATTCCCACAGCTTTTCATCATCTTGGCCCTGACAACATCAGCAATCGAGCCCTGAGGCACTGTGCAGGGCAACTAGGAAGTGTGTTCCAGACTCTATTTCAACACTCAGTTGACAGTATTTAATTTCTAGTGTTTAATGATTTATTGAACTGTCTGTCAGGATTGAGGATCCACGTAGGAGGTCAGAGCTTCATGTTTATGGGATTAATGTTTTTTAAGGATTTTTAAGTAAACCTAAGATGATTTGTTTACATTTTCACATGGTCTTACTGAGGTGATGCAAAGTGAAACATGCTTTACCTGTTTAAAGTTGATTGGGAGGTGATGGAGTCTGAAACCATGTGATCACTGTAAGCTCTGTGATTTATTACCCAATGGACCAGCAACGCCTTCACTGTGTTTAAATGAGAATGAATCCAGCTTTACTTTAATATAGTCGGTACTGTGCAAAAGTCTTGAGCCCTCGTTTCACTCGTTTCTTTACATTTTGCAGGAGAATTGGAAACGGATGCAGCGATTCACTGAAATGTGCAAATATTCATTAAAAATACAGAATATGAGGCAAAAATCTAGTCTTTACAGTTCTAACGAGCTTGAACGTGAATGTTTGGTCTGGCCTTCATCCTTCAGCTCTCTCTGAACTCTCTGAGCAGCTCTCTGGCGTCTCTGTGAGGACCTGCAGGAACACTTCTCCAGACTTCTTGAAGGACATTCAAAGCTCTTCTGCCTTCTGTTGATGATGTTGATGACTCCACACTGTTTATGTCCTGCTGAGCTTTGTGCTCTGGGACTGCCAGACCATGACTGATAGTGTTATTGTCTTATAGCTCACGTCACTGCTTATATCTGAAGTCCTGCTGGCAGAAATGCCCTTCAGTCAGAAAGGTTGATGGTCAGGATGAACCTGGACACTTCTTTGCACACATGTGTGTCGTATCTTTTGCATGATAAGTACTGATAGAGACAGACGTGAGTCTGTATTTATATTTCTTGCAGCCTGTTAGCACTGTACCTCCTGCCTTTCCAAACGGCTCTTCTGTGTTTCTGTCTCATCGTTCTGCTGATGAACATTTGTCGCCCACCGTGATCTCAGCACGTCGTCCTGGTTCTGGAGAGCAGACGTGTGTTGATCTGAGTCCTGTGATTTCCAGTAGTGATTTATTCCCAAGACAAAATCAAACCGTCCTCTGCCGCCGTGTTGTTGCACAATAAAAATGATGCAGCTGTCAGAAACGGTCCGGCCCTGGTTATTGTCTCAGATACGACGCTCGTCTTATCCTGTCTGCTTCTGTCGCTTTCCTTCATTTACTTCTTGTTATTTTCCTGAAATGTGCTCCAGAGTGACAAAAATATGTGCTGGAGTTTATGCTGCACTAAAACCTCTGTGACATCGATGCACTCGCTGCTAACAGGAAAGCCAGAGGAGCAGATGCATCCCAGCAAAACACTGATGCAGCTTTTTCACATTAAACTGAAGTGATATCAGATACAGTCCTGATTAAAGCTTTAAGACCACTTGAAAAATGGCAAAAATCATATTTTGCATGGTTGGATCTAAATAAATGTTGTTACTAAGAAAATGTTTTATTCACAAATGCAGACATTTCAAAGCTAAACGACATGATTTTGAAAATGAGAAGTGATATGAAGTGTATGTTAATCACAGAATCATAATTCATACATGATTTCATTGATAGTTAATTATGTTTAACTGCTCAGCACTGATCACTTCCTGCTGCAGAGGGTGGAACAACCAGTGATCAGGTTTAGGGGGCAGTTACTTTTGCACACAGGGCAGGTTTGGGGAGAGTTTTTCGCTTTATAAATGAAACCATCATTTAAACAATACTGTTTGTATTCTCTTTATGATCTTTGTCTAGAATGGAAACAAGTTTTATCATGTAAAACATCAATCAGACCATCTTCTCAGCACTACACCCACTCTCCTGTTGGCATATGTCTGCTGTTTCCTGTTCACCAGTGGATCAATGGATTCATGTAAATGTTGAAATGTGAATGACGGCCATGAGAATAATCTAAATGTACATCCACCACATGGTCAAATATTACTGAACCGGTGGTCCAAACCTCCACAGGATGTCGGGATCTGTCTGTGGAAGTTTCAAGGTTCATTTGTTTGGATCACCTGGAGAGTTTCCCTCCTGCAGGGTTTTCCTCTCTATCAGCAGTGCTTCCATCTGTGCAGCCCGTCCAGTTTTCCCAGCAGAGGAGGAGACATTTCAGGGCTGGTTAATCATTTTTGATCTAACTGCAGCACAGACTCTACTCTCACCCTTCCATGTTTTAGACATGCTGTGCTGGATTCCCTGCTTCTTTCTGGGCTTTTTATTTTGGGGCTCAGCTCATGGGGTTCCCCAGACAAACGCCCGCCCCGACGTCACAGACCAGGAGCTGTTCTGGGGTTCTGACCAGTACGACTTTGCTATAGTGCTTCCTGCTGCTGGGTTGGAGTGTTTCTGGCACTTTGCTCACCGTGGAGAGAGATTTTACTTGAACTTCATGGTAAGAAGAAAACTCTGTGTCAAGCTAAGTGAAGCCACCTGACATGTAGTCTGTTTTCCCACAAATGTCAGATTAGCATGGACACCAGCATCGGTACCATCTGTTGAAAAGAGCTCACGGTGGTAACATCAAACAGGATATTTTACACTGACAGAGCTGCTGCTGCTCGTTCCTGCAGTGTGTGGACGCTCTGTATGGTTTTTAACTCTGTATTGGTTTTGTAGGTCCAGTGGGTGATGGGAGTCGGCCATGACAGACACCTGTCTGTCACCGTCAACACTCCGAGTGATCTGTTGCTGTCTACTGTTGATGATGCGAAGGGCCAGATCAACTTTGAGGCTGCAGAATCAGGTAGCTGTCTGTCTGATGGATAGCTCTTCCATGC